CACTGCTATTGGTAAAGTATTGACTTGATTTCTCTGCTCACATCCAGGGCACTGCATGGTCCTGCCCTGCTCTCCCCAGATCCCCTGCCAGGCGCTCCCCTACAGACCTCTCCATCTTCCATGAGTATGAGCTTACAGAGCCATTCATCTCCTGGTGGTTATGTTCACCGATCACTGACAACTCCCCCTGCATCTCATACACACCGGGCTGCTTCCCTACTAAAATTCTCCAAAGCCACGTGTTACACATTTCTTTTCTCTGCCATGCTCCCAGCTGTTCTGTGCTGTTTTGATCTGTTTGCATAGCGCTGTCAGACTACATGCATGAAAGGTGTGTTGTTGACTTGAATGGTTTCAAAAATGTTTCTGTAAAGAACCTACCTAAGTTGTAGGGGGAGAAGGAAGCTTGAAGCCCCAAAGGTAGAGGTCAGGGACTCCTGCGTGAACCTTTGCCAGAAGGAGACCTGTGCTCATTGGCAAAGGAAAGAAGGCCATTAAAATGTGATTGTGATCTCTACCAATATAAAGGATATAGGAGTTTCTACTCAAAAAGGAAATAATAAGCAGTACTGACATATAAAGAGGTGGGGTCCTACCACAGAATGAAAGACTTTAAGGGGCGTATTAACAACGACATACTTATTGGTCACCAAGTGTTCGTCAGCAAGGAATTGGCCTTTTGGAGAAGGGCATTTGGCCATCCTGCTCACAGCTATGTGGAGGACCAGATGGAACCCACAAACGTTCACAATGGCCTGTCAGACTGGCCTGATGTTGGGCTCTTAGATAAAGGATAATTTAGGTATTTTTCCTTCACTTAACCAGATAAGAAAATGCAAAGGCAGCCCCCTAGCCGACAGTGGTGGTGGACTGGATGGGACTAGGAAAGGAAAGATAAACCAAGAAGATGAGAGCACTTGTGTGATAGGAAAGAACTTGGAAAATCCATTCTTAACAACACATTTTTTTATAGTGACTATCTACCCTTTTTCAACCACTTCTTCAAAGGATGAATTTGGTATTTCAGATTGGAAAAGCAGCATTGCTTCTGGTTGCCTCTCTGACCTTTTCCCACCACGTTTGCTATATTTGACTATAGATATTACAAAGACAGGCCTTGGGAACTTGTACGGCCTTTGCTGTTTCAAGTCTAGCTTGGGCCAAGATATGTGGGCAAGATGCACTGTGTTCAGATTTTTTTTTCTTTCATCCTTCAATAAAGATTGGTCCCAACTTTGCACACACTTCTTATGTTATCCAAATACCTTTGCCAATTTTTTACATGCTATCTTTGGCCGGTGTTCTCCTTGAAAGATAACTGAAAAAAAAATATGCTGTCTTGTTTGTTTAATATCTGAAGAAAAACTGGTACAACTCAGGTTGGCTTTATCAGCACAAGCATTTTTGGAGGACTTGGGCCTTCTGTGACCACCCCCACCCCCGCCCAGCTGCCCTCTACCCCTGTATGAAGCAAGATCCGCAATTATTTCTACACACAGATTTACTTTGGATTTTTTACTTAACTAATCAAAACATCATTGCATGGGCATTATTTGATGTGTTAGTACCCTAGAGAAACTTTTACAGTAACATTTTCCCCTTAGGGAAAAGAAATTACATTTTTCTCCCCAAAATAAACATTCCGTAGGCAAGCAACTGAGACCCTGCATGCTTAAGTCCTTTGTAACCCTGGCTTTCTTTAATAAAGCCACTTAGCCGGGTCCACTACAACAACAAAAAATTCCAAACTTCTTCCTACCCCTTCTCAGTATTCAAGTTCTGGAGTTTAGAGTTTTGTCTACTCTGTGCTTTGCTTCTGCAAAGAATTCTCAAATTCTTGTGCTTTCTACTCCAAATAGCTGTAGGACGCCATTTAAATCCTATCAGATTCTTTTTACAGCTGAAATAGGAACGCTGAGGTCATTTCTAGGCTAACCCTGCTGCATAATATGTGAGAATGCCCTCATCACACATTCCCCTCCCAATTATTTTTAAACTCAACTCTTCAAAGTAAAAAAATGTAACAGAGCCATGGAAGTGGAAATGCTAGAACCTGCCTTTTTCATTTTATCTTCCACAGGAATGGCATTTTTAAACACGAGCTTGTGTCAGACACTGAACAGTCTCCACACAGGAATGAATGTTTTGATTAAAAGTTATTTAATAGCTCTAGTTCCTTGGAATTCTGCCTAAAGGGGGAGATATTCTTAGCTGCAGGTCCTGTGCCTTCCTTGACTAGATAGAAAAGAGGCTAAAAATCTACAGGGACTATGCGGTGTTCTCAAAATAGTTACTTGATTGTATATGTGTTTATATAGCAGAGAATACTGCTATGTGAAGAATTAGGAATTAGAAAAGAATATAGAATTAGAAAAGAATAAGGAGCAATGTGTCAAAACAGCATCTTTCTGTAGCTGTATCACTACATCCGCTGATTCCCCAGCCTTTTGGTTAAAATCAGGGTTAGGGTACTACATTATTAGGGCAGGCCAGAAAAACTGGCCTCTATAATTTATATAGAATGTTTTCTTAACTTGCATTCATATTTAGATCAACAACAGTTAAACCAAAGACGTTGAAGCAAGTTGGTAGGTAAAATATGATCTTATTTCTTAAGTGCTTTGAGTGTAAAGTAATGGAGATATATTCTCATAGCCCCTAACTGTGCATTAAAAAAAAAAAAAAAGGAAAAAAATTTCTTCATTCCAAGGATACAAGTAGAATTTTGACTCAATAAGTTATTTTAGCTTCAAAGGTAGTGTTGTGCTCAATACAACCTCTTCTCTTTAACTATCATCGTTTTGAGGCAAAATATTTACATAACATGGAATTATTTTTCTAGCCATCCAACAGCATTTCATGCATTGAGATATTGCTGCGACACAGTTAGAAGTCGGGCCCTCCGGACCTGTATTGGGTGACGGCATTATGCTATTATCATCAAGAGATTCCATTGTTTCCAACCCCCAAGGTCCTGTCTGTACTTGTTTACAGGTCAACCGAATAGTAACTCGTGTGTGCTCAGTGGCTTGAGTGTTATCACCGTAACCTTGGCAACCGAGCCAGCTCTGATTTCAAAACCTCACATGCTGTATCATAAAATTAGATAACAGAATTGACATTTAGCTTCATGTCTGTCATATAAATTAAGCTCTGAGAATATTTCTTTTATAGCCATGTGCTTCAATATGGAAATAGGCACCAATTAGAACAATTTTATGCATATACATACTAGTCCACATTTAGGTGCTGGGTACATTCCTCAATTCTTCCTCTACAGTATTGAACCTCACATATTGCCATGTTAATCTCACTGTGCCAAAATTCACGGTGGCTTTGTTTTATGATCAGGATGAAGCTTATAGCAGAGCTGTATCAGATATCCTATACAAATAGGATTATGAATAATAGAAAACTCAGCTCCTAAAAAATGTAAAATTCAAAGCATTGCTGGGTACTGTTATTTATGCTGATTAGAAGTAAGGCTGTGCACAGAATATTCCACTAACTAAATCAGAATCCCGACGACAAGACAGGCTTCCCTTTCATTTATATATTTATGCATATTTTTACACATATTATATTTTCCAGTGTCTATGAATCTCTGATAATATCTTTATTTCAAGGACATTCTAAACCTGCAGATTAATACATTCATCTACTTTGAGTCCCAGGTCCTCTTTTATAATTTGTAAATATTTAAATCTCAGGATTTTCCCCTCTACTTGCTATGGTCTATGCAGTTTTCCTGGAGTATAAATTTAAAGACTCAACTTGTGAATTACATTTAATGTAAGCACCCTGCAGTTTTCTGCATTGCAAATGATTATTTTTAGAAATTTTATGGTTGCCTGGATATATTTGTTTGTCTTCATTGATATGTAGGGGGAAAAAGCTCATTAATGATTTAAAAAGAAGGTGTTTTGATTCATCGACTTGATTCTTCTCATTACATAAACAATAAAGGCAATAAATTAACATCTAATAAAATTGTAAGAGTTTGTTTCCGAATTTAGCTGCAAGATAGTCTTGAATTCTTGGGCATAATTTTTCCTGTTCTTTATATTCTTTTGCCTCAATGTTTTCAAAGTCACCATTCAGCATATTTTAACCTAGATGATTGGTTTATAATTCTTATTAAAGATACCTTTTAGCAGCTGTCAAACACCATAATTGAACAACCGTTTTATGAAACGGTTCTTTGGCCTCTAAAATGGTAAGTTGTTATGTAAAAATAGAAGATCTTTATGTCAAAATTGACTGTAAAATACTTTTTCTTTTCCCCGTTTACCTGCTGTGTCATATATACCATTTGAGAAATCTGCTTCCAACATTCTCTTATTACCCATCCATCTAACTATTGCTAGTTTTCTGTTAAATACTACCTTCTTGCCATATATCTAGTAAAGAGTCAAAATTCCTGCAAATTCAGGACATTTTCTTTTCAGAAACAGATAAGTGGTTGTGCTCTCTACATGTGTGCTTAAGTGGGAAGAAGGGCAGAAATCCTTCTGTGTATTTGCTGACCCTGTACAGCAAATACCTGTTATGTTTTCAGTAATTAAACTGTTTGCTTTATCTCATTGGGTTGAGTCATCATCACCTTTCTGTTTAAACTGGTAAAAGGTAGTTCTTATTATTTTATTTTATCTTGAAACTATTTCTTGTGATTAACAGAAATAGTTCAGCATGTTGTGGCTCCAGGACTGAATCAAATTTGGGTAGTCATTTGTATTGTAAAAGAACATCTTTGGAAACTTTAATACATAGGCGTTCTGCAGTGCAATATGAAAATAAACTTGGGCTGTGTTTGGTGCTGGGATGTGGGGGCTTATCCGGCTGTTTGCATGACTCCGAGATGTATTATACTATCCTTTTTTTTTTTTTTTTTAATTGTGACATGATATGGCATTAGATGGATGGGGGAGGGGAGGAACTGTAATGATAAAAGAAAAAAAAAGTTATATGGAAATACAGCTTCTTTTGTGATTTCCTTTTAGGTCTGATGTTGTGGTCCTCTGTTTTTCGATTGCTAATCCCAATTCCCTAAATCATGTGAAAACCATGTGGTATCAAGAAATCAAGCACTTTTGCCCTCGCACACCTGTTGTTCTAGTTGGCTGCCAGCTAGATCTCCGCTATGCTGATCTTGAAGCTGTTAATCGAGCCAGACGCCCTTTAGCAAGGTAAGCCAAGGGACTCAGTATTTTGCTGTGCTGGCCAAATTAAAGTTTAGAGGTAACAGATGTCCCTGTAGCCTAGGGTTATGCTCTTCAGTGGTTCTGGGGCCCCATCAAGCAGCCATATGCTTTAAGTTAGTTTGTTAATACTGACCCTTCTCGTGCTCACCGTCCCCTCTTAGGTGAGGAACCCATTTTTGTAAACTGGTTGGCCAGTTCTGGAAATGAATTTTATAATTGCAACCTGGTGTGAATAAAAGTGTCTTGGGGGCACCTGGGTGTCTCAGTCAGTTAACCGACCTACTCTTGGTTTTGGCTAAGGTCATGATCTCATGGTTCATGAGTTCAAGCCCTGAGTTGCACTGTCCGTGCAAAGCCTGATTGGGATTCTCTCTTTCCCTCTCTGCCCCTCCCACGTGTGCTTTCTCAAAATAAATAAATAATTTTTTTTAAGTGCCTTGAGGCACCTGGGTGGCTCAGTCAGTTAAGCGTCTGACTTCAGCTACACGAGTTTGAGCCCCACGTTCCAGCCCTGCATTGGGCTCTGTGCTGACTGCTCAGAGCCTGGAGCCTAGTTCGGATTCTGTGTCTCCATGTGTCTCTGTCCCTCCCCCACTCACACTCTGTCTCTGTCTCTGTCTCTCAAAAATAAGTAAACATTTAAAAAAAATTTTTAAGTGCCTTGAAATTTGCAGAATACTAAACAAAATAGTAGCTACTCATAGTAATGTCATTCTTGAAACTATGATTAGTTTAATAAAGTTAATGAACATTCAGATTGACTAGTCCCAGTTCTTGGCCCCCCAGAACATCAGGTTCATGCAAATACACATATCCAAGTGTTTTTAACCTTCTCGTTTTCCCCAATCCAACCTCTGAGAATATTTCATTCCCAAAATGGTGGTGTCTAGTTTTAAAACATCATATGGACCTATAGTTGCAAAACAGGAACACTGGTCTTTAAATGTTACTAGTAATTGTTTTTAAATTTTTTTTTAATGTTTATTTATTTTTTGAGAGAGAGACAGAGACAGAGCATGAGTGAGGGAGGGGCAGAGAGAGAGGGAGACACAGAATCTGAAGCTCAGAGCTGTCAACGCAGCGCCCAATGCAGGGCTCAAACCCACGAACCGTGAGATCATGACCTGCACAGATGTTGGACGCTTAACCGACTGAGCCACCCTAGTGGTGCTCCATCTAGTAGATGTTTTTTAAAATGTCACAACTTTAAAAATCAAACTGAGGGGGGATTTGTTTTACTTGTATAAAATGTGAATACCAATATTAGGGGGAAGTAAGAGTTTTTTAAAGCCCATGCCCCTTCCATTTTCCTGTCATAAAAAAAATAACTTTATATATATTTTATGTTTAACTACATTTTTTGCCAGAGAGCATAGCTTTCCCAAAAGTGTTGGTATTAATACCTTCCTTCAATGTTTGCCTGATAGGCTTGTTGCAAAAATTTTGTACAGACACAGCTTTTTACACTCTCACAGCAAAAGCAAATAGTATTTTCTTTAGACAATTTCGGATGTTCTTGTTGCATTTTGGATAAATTTTCTGAAAATGTTTCATGTTGTTTTCACAGTCCCTCTATTAAATGCATGGACTAGGAATTGAATGTTAGAAGCCACATAGAGGGAAAGGGGACTCACAGTGAAAGAGAGACTGCCCCTGGCATCCAGAACTTTCTGTGTAAAAGAATAGGCTGAGATAATCAGGCCTCACAACCATAGACGTGTGGAGGACAGGAGGAGAGTTACAGAGCACTAGAGGACAGCAGAGGGGACAGTCCCGATCCCATGAAGGAGCTGGTATTTGAGCGCAGCCTTGAAGAGTTTGCCAGTTAGTGATTTCCAAGTCAGTCCCAGGAAGAAGGAGCACAAAAAGCCCAGAGAAGCAAACTTTGAAGTTAAGTCTTCTTCCCTGCACTTCCCTCTGCCTTTGCAACACCCTGCCTTTTTTCCTTGTGCTCTGTCCAGGGCTTCAGATCCCAACTGTAACCAGTATTACCGTATTTCTCCTAAGACCAGTGCCTTTCACACACATTGCCTTCAATTTTGGAAGCCAAATATTTATTTAGGAAGATCAATTCCTAAGAGTGTGTCTCAGCATCAAGTGTGTGTTTGTGAAGAATGTAACAACAAAGTTAATTATGTTCTGGAACCTGTCTTTTACTATGCTATGCCATAGTCACAGCACTATTCTGCCTGGCCTCCCTGGGTTTGATTAGAATGTAAAGGGGCCTTGTGTGCCAGCCTGAAGGGCTGTGTGGAACCAGAGGAAATTTTTAAAAAGAATTACAGCTGAAAGTCATGCGTGTGTGATGTAAGGATGTTTCGTGCAGCAGTGGAAACTGTGGGCTGAAATGTGGAGAGTCTGAAGAAAGACAGTACAGAGGCTAATGCCATAGTCCAAGTGAAAGAGGCTGAGGGCGTGACTGCAGAGGCAGAAGAGAAGAGAAGCAGTTAGGCATGAAAGGAGAAGCACAGATCTGATGCAAGAAACTTAATTGGCTATTGGGTGGGGACCGTTTAGTCTAGGACTAGGGGCTTCTAGACTCTAACTGCTGGGCAGGGGTCTCTCTTCAAATTGCGAATGTGACCTGAAGCAAACCCTTTAGACTCTCTGCCTCGGTTTCTTCACGAGGTGGCATGCGAATAACACCCCTAGGGTTTTTGTGAGGCTCAAGTGAGAAAAGGTATATGGATTCACTGTAAAGTTATCAAGCAAAATGTAAGCATAACGTGGTGATGAAGGTGCAGACGTCACAGTTGTGATCGTTGTAACAGCTAATATTTGTCAGGCACTCCCTGTGGACCAGGCACCATGCTAAGCATATGATCTCATTTCAACTTCTCAGTAGTGCTTTAAGATGTAGGTGTTTATTATTCTTATTCCTATTTTACAGTTGGGAGAACCAAGGCTTAAGAAGGTTAAGTAACTTGCCCAGGATCAAATAGCAAGCAAATGGCCGATACTTCAGTTATTATAGTTACTCCTGAAAGCATTTTCCCCTGCAGGCCTGAGTCCTTTATATTTGGAAAGCTTGAGGTAGATCGATTTTTCAAGAGCCTTATTAAAAGTCTGAATAAGGACTTTAAAGGCACAATTCTATTAGGTGCTTTGATAGGCCCTTGTTACCATTTTTTTTTCCCTAAAATAAGGCTGATTATAATTTTTTTTAAATACTCCATTTTAGGCCCATAAAGAGAGGGGATATTCTGCCCCCAGAAAAAGGCCGAGAGGTTGCAAAGGAGCTGGGCATACCGTACTATGAGACAAGCGTGTTTGACCAGTTCGGAATCAAGGACGTGTTTGACAATGCGATCCGAGCAGCGCTGATTTCCCGCCGACACCTGCAGTTCTGGAAATCCCACCTAAAGAAAGTCCAGAAGCCTTTACTTCAGGCACCATTCCTACCTCCAAAAGCCCCTCCGCCGGTTATCAAGGTTCCAGAATGTCCCTCCATGGGGACAAGCGAAGCTGCCTGTTTACTGGACAATCCTCTGTGTGCCGACGTCCTGTTCATCCTTCAGGACCAAGAGCACATCTTTGCACATCGAATTTACCTCGCTACCTCCTCTTCCAAATTTTATGATCTTTTTTTAATGGAATGTGAAGAAACCCCAAATTGGAGCGAAGGAGCTGGTGAGAAAGAGAAGCAGAGCAGGGATTGCCAGGGGCGGGCATTGAGCCTTGACCCAGACGAGGAGCGGGAGGAAGGAACGCCAAGGACACCTCAGGCCAATCAGTGGAAGGCCTCGAGCCAGAACCTGTCCCAGCAGGAGAGTCTGGCTCTGGAAGGCGAGAGCTCAACTCCGGAGACACAGACCTTATCAGGCTGGAGCAAGGGGTTCCTTGGCATGCACAAGGAAATGCAAGCCAATCCCGTTTCAAAGCGCGTGGGCCCTGTCACTGTGGTCAGGATGGACTCCTCCGTCCAGCCAGGCCCTTTCCGGACCCTGCTCCAGTTTCTTTATACGGGACAACTGGATGAAAAGGAAAAGGACTTGGTGGGCCTGGCTCAGATCGCAGAGGTTCTGGAGATGTTTGATTTGAGGATGATGGTGGAAAACATCATGAACAAGGAGGCCTTCATGAACCAGGAGATTACAAAAGCATTTCATGTCAGGAAGGCCAATCGGATAAAAGAGTGCCTCAGCAAAGGGTCGTTCTCAGGTGAGGGGTCCAACGGTAAAGTCATCGATCCCTTTGGTTGTGATTTATCAAACATTAGCTGTTCCCAAATAGGCAAGAGAGTAACCAGCACTAACTTGTGTCCATGCTTATTTTTTTATGTAACCTTCTAGTTTGCGTGTATCCATCTATTTAATTCTTATCAGACTAATGGGCCAAATACTATTCCATTTTGAAGATGGGGAAATTGACAGGGAGGTTAGGCATATTGCCTCCAGGTTGTACAGTAGTAAATGGTAGAGCCAGGATTTGCACACAAGCTGCCCTCTAAAGTACCCTCACGGCGCTTCTCAGTTAGGTCACATTCCTCCTGAGCCTGCACCAGAGCCAGAGCAAGTCAGCTCGATGTTCAACTCCTTCAGGCTCCCTTCCCTGACCACATCTGATCTCCACTGACCTTTTGGCCTTGAAATCCTTGAGGTGATTTTGGCAACCCTCTGCCTTCGTATCAAGGGTGCCTCATCTGTCCATTTCCCCCTCCCTATCCTTTCTCGCACTCTACCACCCTACACTTCTCTATTTCTCTTGCCTCTTCTTTATCCTTGATAACTATGCTGTATGCTGACCACAGTGTCTTCACATAATTGCTTGTTTGTTTCTACTAAATTCTGAAATAGCCTTCTGTGTGTGTGAGTGTGTGTGTGTGTGTGTGTGTGTGTGTATTTCATTGTTAAAATTTGACTTCCTGACTTTTATTTACATGGATACTTCCATTTTGTCTTTATCTTTCATAATGCCTTGGTAGTACATATTTAGTACTATACATTCAGTAATTGATTACTGAGTCTGTTCATTAATTTTAAAACTTATGAATAATATTTACTTGAAACATTGACCATCATGAAATAGAAACAATCATGAAAAGAAATGTTACAAACCTGCAGTAAACAATGGACCTTAAGTGAAATGGATTGAATCGCCCTCCCCTTAATGCAAAGGCATAATGACCAAATACAACATGGAACTTCAACTGGATTGTCTTTAAAAAAAAAAAAAAAAAACCTATAAATACAATTTAGAGATAATTGGAAAATTTTGAGTATGAACTAGACGATGATATTACTAATTTTCTTAGGAGTAATGATATGATTATCTAGAAGTATATTCTTATTTTTAGAAAACTCTTGATAAAGTAGTTAGAAGTGTCATGCTGTTAAAAATGTCTACACACATAGGGGCACCTGGGTGGCTCAGTTGGTTAAGTGTCCGACTTCCGCTCAGGTCATGATCTCACAGTTGATGAGTTCAAGTGCCGCATTGGGCTCTGTGCTGACAGCTCAGAGCCTGGAGCCTGCTTCAGATTCTGTGTCTCTCTCTCTCTTTGCCCCTCCCACATTCAGGCTCTGTCTCTCTCTGTCTCAAAAATAAATATAAATATTTAAAAAATGTTTACACACGTATATATACACATACACACATATTCACTACGTATACACACACACATACTCATTCACCCATAGTTAAAGCAAACATGGCAAAATGTTAACAGTGTGATAAATGAGTTATCATTGTACTGTTTCTTCCACTGCTCCGTATGTTTGAAATTTTTCATAGTAAGGGAGAAAAACTATTCCTCTCCTTTATGTTACCATGTGGTTCAGAGAATTTGTATCGTGATCTCATGTGTCATCTTATATACTTACTCCTCAATCCTTGGATGACATAGAGGGATCTGGGTGTAGTGGTTGATACCAAATCACTAAGTAGAGACACGGAAAAGAGAGTAAGAGATGCAGGTTGGTGACTGTGGGTTGAGCTCTCAGCAAAGCTGGCTCATGGTTATGTTTCTTCGATCTTTGGGCAGATGTGACGTTCAGGTTGGATGATGGAGCCATCAGTGCCCACAAACCATTGCTGATCTGTAGCTGCAAGTGGATGGCTGCCATGTTTGGGGGCTCATTTGTGGAAAGCACCAACAGTGAGGTATGTGCCTTCCGAGAAGCCTAAGTAGTATCTTTATGACTGTGTGTGTGTTTGGTTAACCAGACGACTTCAGCTCTTCAACTGCTTCCATGGAGGTCACCCTCTTCTTAATTTTGCTGTTATGGGGAGCCATGGTCCGCTGTTCACTTGTGGTGTGTGAGCACCTGAGTGGTACCTGCGCATCACCCTTTTATGGTCACTGCTGTCATTTGTAAAACATGATCAGCTATACTTTTTTCAAATGTCACCAAGCAAGACACTATCAAACTCACATGCAGTTGGGGCAGTCTGTCTTCCAGAAGTTCGGGGTGGTGAAAAGTTTCTTCGCTTACCCGCATCCTGGGCTCAGCTGAGCCCCCAACCAGACGACGGCCCTTGAGAAGCCACATCCTTGTGCCCCTGTTTTCTCATCTGCACCATGAGGGGTGCACTGGATGGCCCTCGACATCTCCTTGAGCTACAGCATCCCCCGAGGCACTGCCCCGACTCATCTTCTCCAAGTCTTTGTTAACTGGAGGAAGACAGTAATGGAGCAAATGGTCATTCCTCTGAACACACCGCTGTCAATGCTTAGGTCTAGTGGAAGCCACTGAGTCACTTCTCAGACGCTGGCCCTATCTCCGAATAAAAGATATTCTTAGAGCAGAGTAAGCAGTATCTTGAAACCATTCTGTGTTCATCTTTTTACAAACCCTGTTGGAAAAGAAAGAAAAATTCCATTCAAGCACTTCTAACTTTAGTCTAGAAGAGCAAGCATTTTTGTTGAGTTCTGAAAGTATTTTTTAACCATCATTTTTTTAAAGGGGGACACCCCATCAAGTTTATTGTCCTAAGAGGCTCGCTTTGCTGATCTCAGCATCTCTCCACACTTTTAAAAGAAATAGAGAAAACAAGAGCTAACTTCTCGAAAGGGGCACTCACACCAGAAATCTGAGCACTCCCACAGTGACCCGGGAGCCTGCATTTGCATCCCCAAGTAGGGAAGCAGAGTCACAGCCTCACAAGCAGGGATGGCTGGGGCAGAGGAGGTCACTAGGCCACCTCCCGCTTTCAGAACAAACTGCAGCTGCTCCTAAACCAACTCCCAGCAAAAGGCTGTCTGCTGTGGGGGGAGGAGAAATGTTAGGATTGTTCTGATGACCTCGCTAGCTGTCTGCCGGCCTTTATAAGCCCAGAGGTCTGCAGCTGTAAGTAGTGAAGTCTTTCCTGTGCCACCAAAGATGTTTCCGAGCCATGTCACTGAAACTACGCCAGCGTGGTAGAGGCCGCCCAGTGAAGGGCGCAGGGCTTGAATCTCAGCTCCTCCACGTATAAGCTGTGTGGCCCTGGGCATCCTCCCTCTCTGGAAAGCAGGATAATAGCCACAGTGTGGTGGTGAAGTGCAAAAGTCAACACTCGCAGATCCTCATGAGCATTAAGTAAATGGTCGCTGCCATTAGTGTTATTTTGATGTCAGTCGTGTTCATATTCTTTCACTCTCACTTCCAAGAAAATTTGGGGAAGCCACCGATTAATAAGCCTTCATCCGAATGGCACTTCACCGGCTCCAGTAATCTCCAGAGATGAAGAGCCCGGAGGCTTGCTTCCCTTATGTGTCCAGCTCACTGAAATGTGTGCTGATTGTGCGGCAGAGCACCTGCTACTGACCCAGCAGAGAACTTGATCAAGGTCAGGAACCCAGGCACAAAGAGACACTGTCAGAGCTGACCTCACAAATGCTAATCCCCTTTATCCCTTCCCAGAATGGACTGTAATCGTCTCCAGATTAAAATGGGCAGGAGAGGTGACCAAAACAAAAACTTGGCAGTGAACATGAATGCACTCGTCTATGGTTAACAGCCTCTCTTGGAGGGGGCCACCTGTTTAGCACTACCTCTTAGAAAGACTAGGTCATTTGCCACTTAGAACGATAGCTGAGGTTAATAGGTATGGATGGCTTCTACCCAGCTTAGAAGACAGAGACCATGGACCCAAGCAACAGGAGGTCTGTGCCAAATTCCTTTAGCCAGTGAATCAGGAATGCCATGAGCTGTTGACATGTGTGCCCTCATCTGCCCCTTCTCTTGATTTCCAGAGTAGACTATAATGGTTATATAGTTTGAACTCTAGTCTCAGTTTGACCTTGGGAAAGCGACCAGCCCTCTCCAAACCTGTGTCCTCATCTTTAATATGGGGATAACAAGAGAACCTTCTTCAGAGGGCAGATAAGTCATGAGAGTACATGTGTGAAACATGGAATTTGGTGCTTGGAACATATGAAAGCTCAAGAAATGTCAGTGACCATTGTCCTGGAGGATCCTTGTTAAATTCTTTCCATGAGTAATTGAAAGTCTTTGTCCCCTGAAAGCCCCAAGTTAAAAAAAACCCCAGTTCCACACTTCCTAAACCAGCCAAGTGTGGTGGACGGGTCACGGGGAGGGAGGAACATCAGTTAAATGCTCAGTAAATATTCCATGACTTGGGATCTGTCCTTTGTAGGCCACCTTTTAACTCTTTATTGTCCTGTGAAAACCTGACTTCCCAAACCTCAAAATTCAGTCTTTCTTTCTTTTTGGCATTAACAGAATTCTCATACATATCCAGAAAGGAATAAGATATACCCATTGACGTTACTTTAACATTTTTTGTCATTTAATATTTAAGAAGACATTGTATTTTACTTCTATTTTTCTCATTACTTTTAATGTAGCAGTAAGCATAATTCTCTCCCCAGAGGTGCTCAGCAAGTGGTTCATTAAAAATGCATGCCTGAATTGTAGTAAGCAATGCTCTGAATCTGGAAAACTTTCTCATCCTCTGTGAGACTGTCTCTAATTATAAGCCTAATAGTCTGAGCTGATCTTTGCAATTAAAATTTTAAACCAACGAAACTGGAATAAGAGACGTAGTTTAGGATAGCATTAGAGTCTCTTTGCTGACTCTTATTTCTTCTAAGCTATGTACAGCAGGTAGGATGCAAAATTCTTAATTCCATTTCTTATATAGCTTCATTTATATTGTTTTTAAAGTTCTATAAAGTAGTCTCTCCATTGTTATGCAGTTAAACATAAATGTTGAAATGACAGAAACGGGCTTAAAAAAAGAAACATGAGAATGGTGTGTGTTCTAAACGTGTTTTTAGTTTGTTTTCATTTGCTCTAACGGTCCTTAACATTATTTGCCCAAAAAAAAGCCATCACTTCAAAAAATTGTTTGCCTTATGTTACACAAGAAGGAAAAAGCAAGCCACAGATGTTGATAAATGTCAGAACACTCCAGGGGCAGCTGGGGGGCTCAGTTGGTTGAGCTTCCAACTTCGGCTCAGGTCATGATCTTGAGGCTTGTAAGTTCAAGCCCTGCATCGGGCTCTGTGCTGACAGCTTGGAGCCTGGAGCCTGCTGTGGATTCTCTGTGTCATTCTCACTCTGCCCCTCCCCCACTTACAATCTCTCTCTCTGTCTCTCTCTCTCTCTCTCTCTGTCTCAAAAATAAATAAACGTTAAAAAAAATTCTTTAATCAAATGTCAGAACACTCCAAAGACATTGAAAGTATTGGGGCAGGGCTGCTTACAGGAATCTGTCGTCTCTTGTTGCTAGAAATAATTTCTTTTCACTTAGGATGTTCATTTTGTCATGACTTAGAACACAGTCTTAACAAAAAATGCTAAGGTAATATGAATATCTTCCAAATCCAGAGTCTCCGTGAAGAAGAAAAAGCTGAAGGTTATCACCTCTTCCAAATCTCTCCCATGTAACATATGAGGAAACCGAGGGTCAGAGAGGGAGAATGATTAGTCAAAGGTCACACTCATTTTAGTGACAAACCCCCAGGCCTTTCCCAGCCTCTTGCCCTGGCATCTAAGACGTTGTTTTCAAAATAGCAGACCTCCCCGTAGCTGAGAGAGCAGGTTTTCACAGAAAGCTCTGCGACTTTTTATGTTTATGATCACTAACACTTTATCACACTTAGGACTTTGTAAAATGTACATACCTTCACTACCAAAATGGTCCAAATTTTAAAGTTTCACAACTTAACCTTCAATTATGTATAAAATTGTACTAATCCAAACACGATCTGCATAAGATAAATGCATGTGTACATAAACGTATATGTATGTAAGCATATGCACAGGTACAACTGATATTAGATTCACTGGAATAGGAATTAATTACAATACAACAGCTTCTTTATTTTAAAATCACACCAGTAACAGTGTCTACTTGCCAGGTTCTATCTACTGTAGAGGTTGCCTAGAAACTTGAAATGAAGACCTTTGTCAAATCCTTGATGGTAGTAACCCATACAGCTTATTTACCAAATCATAATTGTTTTCATTGACTGTGTCTGAAAGGGGGTGTGTGTGGAATTTTCTTACTATTTCTGGGAAGTTCTTTGGGCCTTCCCTCTGATACATAAAGAGAAAGCTCTGTCTGAAAGGACAGTCCCTGTCTGAAGTGGCTGGTGGCCATGCAGGAGAATGACATAGAAGGCTGAGATAGCTTAAATGATTCTGGAACCACAACACTAGAATGCATTGACCATGAGACCCATGTAGATTGTGGAGAGAGAGAGAAGGAGGGAGAGATTAGATGTATAATAGAGATGTAATCATCTTTCTGTGGTATATAGAGGTTTGCTAAGCACCAGAAATCAGAAGTTTATAACTGTTTATCCTTCTCAACTTAAAATCTGATTCTTAAAAACTGTTAGTGAAATACAGTACTTTATTATACTGTGAGCCAAACAAACCTTTGCTTCCTTGCCATAAAGGGTTTCTTGTACTGCACAGTGGCTCTGACCACAGACCTTAGAATTATGCTCCCTAAGTTCAAATCCCAGACACTGACTAGCTCTGTGACCTTGGATTTGGGACTTAACCTCCCTGAACCTCAATTTCCATACCTGTAAAATGGCAAAAATAATAGTCTCTTCTTCCTGGGGAGGATATAAGGATCAGAATAGATCACAGTACCTTGTGTATAAGAAGCCTTCAATTTTTATCATTATCATTCCAGTAGCTAATACCAATGGTACTGTTCTGTACTGTGCCGGGGTCCGTCTTGTAGAGTTACTTAGAGTCTCTATGCTGCCTAGCAGTGTGCATCCTCATTGATCCATGCCTTGGTTCTCTAGTGAACTCCAGCATATATTAATATTAGCAACAACTACAGGTACTCAGGAGACAGATTAGGTAAATCCTACAAAGAAGATGCCCAACCAACTATTCCCCAGATGTCCCAGGTAAGGATTTCTCTGGGTTCTCTGAATCTACTGATACCTGATAATGTTCCGATAATTTTGAATCTATGCGGTCATGTCATAGGAAAAACAATGAAGTGTGTGTACTGTGTTAGCCGCTATCGATAGAACGTTGGAATTGAGCCAGTCACTGTGGCAACTAGGTGGTTCCTCATCCTCTGTTTTGACATCTTAGAGAGCTGGGCTCTATCGTGTGTCAGCAACAGTGTGGTTTGCAGCTCCCCCCAACACCTGTCATGTCGCTAGGAGATTTCTTTCCCCACAATAGAGTATTATAAGGTACTTGGCAAAGAGAGCCCATAATGTCATCATACATTTACAGCCCATTTGTCTGATTTATAAGTCCAAATAGCCATTTAAAAATTCCAAATCAGGCTTTGTCAGGCAGCCCCACTCTTTTGTCATCTACAAATCACACTGTTATGTGTAAAGCAGTAAATAGTGAATGACTTCTATACACAGCCTCAAAGCAAGTGTCCTGGACTTGCCAATATCAAATCGTGCAGTTGGGATATTTATAAGCAGTGTAGCCTGAAAATGTACCCACTGCTTTCTTCAGCAGAACTTAGCTTTTTAAATAATGTTTCAGGTGTATCTCCCGAACATAAACAAGATGTCAATGCAAGCGGTATTGGATTATCTTTATACCAAGCAGTTGTCACCTAACTTGGACCTGGACCCACTGGAATTAATTGCCTTGGCAAACAGATTTTGCCTGCCACACTTGGTTGCACTTGCAGGTAAGGCCGATGACTGGGGGCCATGCAGCGTCTGACTGTCGGGCTTGTCAAAATTACACTTAAACAAAAATAACGTTTCCAGGGAATAAAAATTAATTTTGTATCACCCAACATAGGACTGTCTTGTTCAGGGTGGTGGGAATTGATCAGATGTATCAGACAGCCCAATTCAATTCCACAAATATTTTCTTTCTTTTTTTTTTTTT